AATTCATATATATGTAGACAACCTCCCTGTCCTTGCGCCCCTCCTTCGCACGCTTGGAACATTTTAATAAATCAACACGCCCGGCTAGCTAGCGAGTGGACAAGCTCGAAATATCTTAAACGAGAAGCAACAATAACAAATAAGAAACAAAAACAACACTCTATACACATATTTACTCAAGATATAGACTGCAAATATCATGAAAATGAAATGAACAAAATGCTTGTGGCTGACGATTCGCAAACTATTTTCGATTTGCGACCACACATACACACTCACATTTATGCATATATTCATGTATCTATCCATCTGTCTGTCTCAGTGTCTCTGATGTCTTTCCATTTGTTTGTCTGTCTGCTTTGACCAGTATAGCTACTCAATTCTGTTTGCATTTCAATAGAATCGAACCATAAACAATAACAAAGTGTGACCAGACAGCAAACATTAATGCGCCAAGTAGTTAGGGTATTACAATTGGGTTGTGTGTGCACAAGTCATTGCTCTCGCATGCGAAATAAACTTCTATTGAAGTAATTAAATTGAGTTGCAAATGATTCATGGCATGATTAAACAGTTAAATAAAGCTACATTCACTCAGCTTCTAAATACCCGCACTGCACTACTTGCACAAATCAAGCTTCAAGGGTATATAAGTATATAATATTTTATGCAAATAGAATTGTGAAATGTTCTAATGATTAGCATTAAAATACCCGATAGACTCTAAAGTTGGGCTATGAAATGCATTTGTCTCAAATTTTCTCGCGCTTTCATTTGTCTCTTGCTAAAAAGTTTATGTAAAGAAAATATGATTAGCTTTTGCTTGAGTTTAAGTTCAGTAATAAACTCTTTTGGATAGGGTATTAATTATATATTTTAACTAACTTCCCACAGTCTTTTATATGATTTACAGTAATACAATTTTATAGATATAATATGATTAACTTGCTTCTGTTGTTTACTGAACTGATATATCTACTTGGCTCTACAGTTAGAGTATCGAAGATCTTTATGAAAAGTTTTTAAGATATTCTGTTTTGCATTTTGTCACCATTTATCTAGTTGAATGTACCAATACTATCTTGGCTTTTGTGCCAGGGTATTATATATTCCTCTTTTCTTATTCTTTTATTTTATTTATATTGATACATTTTATATATATATATTATATTGCTGCAATAATAGGAACAGGGTGTCAAAGTATTTTATATCAACTTTCTATGCTTCTTGCTTATTTAGCCCAATTATCTAATTGACTTCTCTAATATGCTTGCTTGTCCTGAAGATTTATGGTATTTATGATATTTTCACTATATTTCGCTTTGTTTAACATTTGGTTAACATTTTATATATTGAGTAGCGCGTGATATATGATCAGCTTATTTATGTACTGGCGCATAACGTAAAACAAGCCTCCACTATTTCCTCCATTTTGCTTCCACATCATATCTACGTAAAGTAGATGATATCTTTATGGCTACACATTCGTATGTAGGATATATAGTTAGGCAGTTTCCAGTTGTTGTGCCGTTAAGTCCGTCGAGCTGTTGCTTTTCCCCAGGTGATAATTACGCATTTTTAAAATGCAGTTTGTCTCTGTGTTGCTCTGCCTCATGAAATATGCAGGGAATTGAGGGGCAGGTAAAAAGGTCAGCAGCGCGAGAGGCAGGCAGCAAGCTGTAGTGCACTCAGCTGGCCTTATTAAAAAAAACAAACAGCAAAGAGTTGCTAAAAACACAGATACAAAAAATACTGACAGAGAGAGAGAGAGAGAAGGAGAGAGAAAGAGAGAGAGGGCGCACCATAACTTTGCAAATGGTTTGGCTTTTGAGCTTTTTGAGCTCTGTGCACATCGCTGAAGACTCAATTACTTAAGTTATTTAAACTTTTTATGCATATAATATACATAAATGTGTTAGTTAGTTAGTTAGTTGAGTCTACTTAATCAGTTACTTGGCAACTGACGCTTTTGATAAGACATACGTGCCTTGTCAAGCAAATGTGTCTCTAATTTGGACTAACATACATTAAATTGTGATAGGGCTGTGACTTTTTCAGATAGAAATGGGAAAGTACCAAAGTCGAGTGAGCTTGATTCCGAAGTCATATTTATTTTAAAGTTAGCAGTCACCATAATTACATCAAACTTTGTTGTCGTTGCTAAATTACACAGTTTCGTATCTTAAAATCTGTGTAGATAAAAAAAGAAGAAAAATACTTGACTAATTTTAGCTAGCAACATATTCTTAGATAAGACTTTTAAGAGTATATACTGATAACTTTTACTTTTTATCGTGCATTTTTATAAACATATCTTTATGAGAAGGTCAAAATTAATATTTAATAATAGTTTATCATAATACTTATTATGTTGGTCACACCCACAATGGCTGTAGATATATCTTTTATATATTTGTATATTATATATTACCCATAGACGGATTTGGTGTCCATCCGAAGCCATTGCAGTACCAATATACACTTTTCACTATTTGAACGAGCATAAATAGGTTTTTAACTTTCAAATAGGATTAATTTGTAGTATGCTTAACGTAATTACTCCCAAACCTATTTCGCACTCCAACTTTAATGTAGTTAAATATGATTTAATTTGCCAGGAAATATTTAAAGCATTTACAATTTTTTTTGTCTATTCAGCAATAACCATTTATTTTTTCCAAATGCCTTTCAGTTCATGCACATTTCTTTGCTATTTAAGAGGCATTATGATATTTCAAGGCCAAAAGAAAAAACAACAAAATTCACTCAACAAGTGAAAGTTTTGTTTCGTAGCCGTTGTCCGAGCTGTGAATAGAGCCGTTTATTGTATTGTGACGCATGCCAGGTCGCTCAACAATGTTTAATGGAGTTTATGTAATACTATATATGACTACAAGTACAACACACTAGAAGAGTTTGTAGATTTGACGCTGCATATATATATATATATAAATATATGTATATATATGGTATTATATATATATATATATATATATTTAGGTATGCTATTATATATCTTTGCTCTTCAATGTTTGCTGTTACATAGTGCATTGTTGTTGTTGTTGTTAGTGATGTTATAGCGTGGGTGTAGGCAACAGCCCGTCGCCGGCTTGCTCAATGACGGCTTTTGTTTCAGCGATAAAAGGCCGCCTGAAAATACAAAACTTTTGCTGTCTCTTTTTATACACGCTGCACCCATTGAATGCGCTTAATGAAGGGTAGATTGGTTATGTGCAAGTGTATTTGGTAGGAGACAGAATGGCGTTCGAGTGATACAACATGTTATCTTGATCATTGATCTTGATATATTATATTAATATGTTATTTTTAATAACCCCTTTTTTTTCTTAGTTTCCTATATAATTTCTGTGTAATACAATAAATTTTTATATTTTATCTAAGAATATATATTTAATATATTTTTCTCTTCTTTATGATATCGTACATTTGCTTTTCACACAATTCCTCTGAAAGCTCTTTAGGTGTACTATATTTGTTTCTTAACTAAAGAGCATTTTACCTTTTTAAAGATCTTACCCAAAATCCCACAAATGCAAATAAAAAATGTAATCTATAGTCCTGCGCTTAGCTGCGCGCTTCCAATTACGAGCCTAAAAATGTTGTGCATGTAATAAGGGAAGAGAAAGAAGAGGCAGAGTAGAAGAGCTGCGTGTCTGTGCTAGTTGTTGGGTATGTGGTAGAAGAAGGAAGCTTGTCAGTTGGTAGCTTCCTACAGGATATCTGGCAGTTGCGCTTACTCGATTAAAGTACTTCAACTTGCCTTATTATGTTGTTTTTGTTACGTTTTTCGGTCTTTTCGCTTTGTTATTGTTTTTGGACAACAAAAAAAAAAAGATTTAATATAGCACGCCCAGCTGCTTACGTCAGAGGCACCCAACAGCAGGCAGCAGACTGTTTGGTGTGTGTGCGAGGCTGATAAGGAGCAGAATCTATAAAGGTATATATATAATATAAATATATATATGTATATATGTATGTTTGTGTGTGTGCCAATATGTTATGGCAAAATATAACAAATATTAGCTGAGGCATGAGTCTATATATTTCTATACTGATTTGATTGCAATTATGTGGGCAAAATATTAATTAATGACTGGCAAGCAATGCGTGTGGCATGACTAGTTACATTGCACTAAATATTAGAGATTAATTAAGAATTTATATATAACTTGTTTGAATATAAAAATTATGGAGTATATTGATTTCTGATTTTTCATCATCTTTAGCTTTTCAGTTTTAATTATTGTGAATTAAAGTTGGGCGTAGAATATATTTTAAATATATGCTACAACTATAATTTATATTTAGTAGTATTAAAGACCCGTTTTGTATAATTTATATAAGTTCATTCATACCTTCCGCTTACATATCTCTGATCAAAATTATTTTTATCTTGAAATGTTTGCATTACGTATAAATATACTATCAAAATTCTTAAAAAAAATGTAAGAAATATTCTAATAAAATAATTTTTTTTATTTTTATTAATTTAAAAATAAAGTTATTTTAGTTTATCATTATTGTTCTGCAAACCAGTTTTGCTTACTCTTAACCTATTTCATCAAAATATTTCAACCTTGAACTTCTCAATGCATTATGTCTTGAAAACCATGGCAACAGTTTGTCTGCCCAAAAAGCAAGCAGCAAAAGACCATCAACGGTCCATCAAAATCTGAGTCAAACTTTAGCGTTTTATGGTTATTGAGAGCTCGTCTAAGTTACGGCTTTTTATGATTTCTAGTCAGAGACTGAGGTTAAAAAACTCAAATAGGAAGTGTCTACCACACAAATTTGGAGGCAGTCAAGGCTGTCCTAAGACATAGAAATAAAAACAAAATTGTTGATTGGCAGAGAAATAAATGTTTATGCATAATGAATGGAGTCTAAGATTTATATATACAAGACTTATGCATATAAATTTAAGTAAACTTAAATATTTTAAAATGCTGGAAACTAATTTATTATTTATTCTCTTGCAGTGCATACACGAAATATGTCAGCAGCGTTTACCTTAAATGGAACTTAGACTCCTCTCCCACAACTGGTCAACGAACTTTCGAGGCCAGAACAACACACAAAATTTATTGAAAACTTGATAAAGAATACATTTCTTATATCTAAAAATAAAGAACTTGGAAGTTAGAGAGCGAAACAGCTAAAAAGTGGAGGGTAACCAACAATAATAATAATAATCATAATATCAAAATCAAGAGTGTAATAGGTAACTTAACCTTATGGCATATACATAAATAATCATTCATAACATATAGCGTTTAGTATAACCACGAGACTACAGATATTTAGTTGTAAAGTACATAGTTTAGTTTAACTGAAAACACACACAAATAATGAAAACATGAAATATGATTACCAAATCTGGCTAAGACGAAACAAGAACTTCGCTAAATTGGGCTAAAGAACTTTTTTATTTTCAATTATCAGCTGGCAACAAGAAGAACAACAACTATTTGTGAAAGTATGAAACGCTTTATTAATTTATAAATTTAACAAACGTAAAATGTAAAAAACAAAAAAAAAAAATTATGGCGCACTTAGTGGGCTTGAAAAAAAACCAACTTAATATAAAAAAAGAATAATAAAAAAGAAATTAAAAGCGAAATCGGACAGAAACAAACAGCTAATTAATTTCACATTAGGTACGGTTCTCACATATTAAAATTAAAGTTAAAAATGCGAATAAAAAACAAAACAGGTCAGAAAAAGTGAATCAAGAAAAAAAAAACAAAATTTTAAATTAAAAAAAAATAAGTAAAATAAATTCGCATAAGCAGTTAAATGCAGTCAGTGTTGGTTAACTAGCAGCAACAGTGTTGTCAAATGTTTAAAGCGCACACATATAGTGCTGTCTAGCGATCAAAGAAAAACATATTTATTCAGTATTGCAAAAGCCGCCAAAAACAAAAGAAAACTTTCCAAGAACTGCAATTCTTATGCGCCCACAACACCAAAAATAAAAACAAAAGAAAAAGTTAAGAAAGAGAGAAAAGAAATTGTAATCTGCTATCAGCTGGAGCTTGCGTTTAGCTCTTGATGTTTTAGGCGTCTTAGACATACGATACATATGTACTATAAATGTTGTACAATCAGCGACGACGTGCAACAATAAACCAACACACACACACAACATTTGTGGTTGCGTAACAGCCGAAAGTTAATCAACATCCAATATACACTCACACACATACACACGCTCATTAACAGTGGCACCTAAAAGTAAGCGCACTCACCGAATACATATATACATATACAACATATTCACATATACAATACAAAAATCAGGCGTATATATATATATATCCACGTATAACTCGCAGGATCTAGGGCCAAATGCGCCAGAACCACATCAACTACTCAAATTCTAAAATAAATATTAACATGAAGAACATAAATTAAAAAAAAACAAACGCAGCAAAAAATAAAAAAATCTGAATGTTTACATTTAAGTCGCAAATATATATATATACATTAAAAAAAAAAGAAAAATAATTAAAATTTTAAAATAAAAAGAAAAACCAACTGAAATTTGTGTGTAAAAAAGCGTAAACCGTAGAATTAATGAAAACAAAAAATGGGGCGTCAAAAAGTCTATATAAATATTAAATATTATACACTTACATCCATATAATATCAACAACAAAATATGTGCAAGAGCGAAAAAGAGAGCAACGTTAGAGAAAGGAAACGCGCCAACTAAGTTAAAAAAAAAAAAAAACAAAAAAAACAAAACGTTATATACATATATATTCGAGTAAAAAATCATTTAAATATTTATTGTTTTACATTTCTATTAAAATTTTCTTAATGTACGTTTCGGCATATACATATATATACATGTATATATGTATATGTATGCAACTAAAAAGATCTTAGGGGTTTACAACATGGAGCAGCCTACTTTAATATTTTTTTTAATCTACGCTAAAGGATTTACTAAATGATGTAACTTTTATTTTTTAATTGCTGTACTTTTTGTTAATTTATTTTTAATTATCCAGCGTTTCGATTTACGGAATCATAACCCAAAAAAAAAAAAAAATAAAAATGAAAATAAAAAAAAAAACAAACAACTTATTTATAATAAAATGTACAACGTATGTTTTAAACTAAAACGACTCTATTAATTTTTCTACTAGTTGCGACAAAAAGTCATAAATAGGCATTAACTAAACAAATAAATTAAAAACAAAAGAAAACAACAACTTCATAAATGGAAATTTTTAGGGCACAAGGCGTGGCCACTAAATCTTAACACTTCACATCACATGTTTAATTCAATTTTTGTTAAGAAACAAAATTAAATAAAATAAAATGTACAACAATTTTTATTCGACTACAACACACACACACACTGACACAACAAAATAGGCATATTAATAAATAATTTAACAACAAAAAAAGGCAAAAAGAACACACAGACCTGCATATAAATAGTCTATTGTAGTCTGAGCAAACAAATTAATACATAATATTAAAAATATATATATAATAATATATATATATGTACATTTAATACATATGTATGTATGCATTAAAAAAGTCAGTCAACTTTTGTTTATAATTTTAAAAAACAATTATTTTTTTGTAAATTTTCTGTGCAATTTTGTGTATTATTTTTGTGTTTAGTTAATATTTATTGCTCTGCAAATCAATTACCTGAGCTTTAATATTTGAATAAAAATAAACATTTGTGCGTTATGCTTTATGTATGTATAAAATATATATACATATATATATATATATTCATACATATATATATATATATATATATATATATATATATATGTATATATTATGTTATATACATATATAATTTTGTATAACTTCCAAGCGAATCTTTTTAAGCAACACAATCTGCGCTCTGCAAAAAAAAAATACAAAATAAAAAAAAATAATTGTATAACAAATCTATAGTTTGTAATTAATTAAAACAAGCGAATCATTTTTTGTCGACATCAGCAAAAAGAAATTGTGAATGAATTTGAAAATGAGCAAGTAAAAAACCCTTTTGTTGTTGTTTCATGTGTGTGCGTGCTAAATTCGAGGTACATATATTTATAAATATATAAAATCTGATTAATGGAAAGCAAAAAAGAAACAGAGAAGAAAATTCAAATTATTTAATTTAGTTTTTAAATTTAAGTTTATATAGCAAGTGCGTATATATATACAAATATAAATTTCAATACCAACAACAAGCAGATGTAAGGTCTTAAAAAAACAAAGAAACAAAATGAAAACAAAACCAAGCATACAATAAAAGTAAAAGTAAAAGAATATTACGAGCAAGTAAACCAATTATAAGTAATGAAAGAAGGAAAAGAAGCAAGAAGAAACAAACACAAAGGAAGAGATAAGCAAAAAAACAAAGCAAACAAACAAAAAAAACCAATAAAATGAATTTGAAATCCTTAAAAAATATATATGAAATAACTGTGTGTTTTTATCATTTGTGGGAGACAAGCCAATAACATTATCTCAATAATGTTTTATTAATGGATGCGTTTGGAAAGAAAAGAAAACATGAAGAGGGAACTTTAACAACTTTTCCAGTGTTCCATGAAAATGTACATTGGGTATTTGTTTCCTTTTCTATTCTGTTGGCATAGTACCAAGAAGTGGTAGCTAATGTGCCAACTTTTTGAAATAATTATTTTATTAAACATGGTCTTTTGTGTGTAACCAGCACACGCGAACGAGCGCACAACATTCAGCATAATTTAATTACTTAGTTTTCGAAGAGACGCGAAACTTTGTCTTTTGTCTATGCTACCTTTACAAGGAGTTTCTAAGGCAATAAGTATTCTTGCTAGGGAAAACTACACACGTGAAACTTGAATATACGTAGGTTTATGGTACATGTATACATATTTGTGTGTCATAACACAGGTAAGTAATTTGGTCAGCTTAAAAACACTCAAATACACTGTTCGCAGTATAATTATGACGCTAATTACAATATAATTGTTTAACGAAAACCAAATCAATATTAAATTCCAGTATTAATTTGTTTAGTTGTCAGTTAAAGAAAATAATATTTGTTTAGAATTATTCATATTTATTGAGTAGTTTTTTTTATTTATTTATATATCTTTTACATCCAAGAAAAAATGAGCTTTAAATATAAAATGTTGTTTTTTATTATTTATTATTTTCCTTATTTAATGCAGTTTCTTTTAATAATACACAATATAACTTTATTTTAGATAGATATAATTATGATATATTTTGTATTATTAAAAGAATAATTCCATTTGGTAGTAAATATTAATATAAAATATATTACAGCTTTTAGAATTTCTCAAATGAGTCTTATGGTTCTCTACTTCTAATTCACAATGCCTACTATGTTTTATAGTCATTATACGCAGCTAATAGTGTTCAGAAAATTCAAATGTTTTTAACAATCTATGTAGAAACGCTATCCTGTTGACTTAACATTTGCTCGCAATGCGGCTTACAATTCTCAACAAGTTAAAGCTTTTATTTTTATTAAAAACCAGAAATTTCTTAAAATCTGTATAGTTTCTGATTATTGATTATTATATAGATTATTTAACATCATACATTCAAAGTTTTATAACAGTTAAACTATTCATTAATTGTTTTTCCTTCATGTGGACTTTCTATCAAGGCCCTCAAGACCTTCTTTTAAATAACTATTACTGCACCACTTCAGACGTAATTGTGTCTAGCATATAGATTATAGTATAGTCTATAGATATCCGCAACAAAGCAAAACTAACGAAACTTATGAAACCGAACAACCCACAAGAACTCCAAAGCCCACAGCGCCAACCAGCTCAACGGCGACTGCCAAACTTTTGCATAATTTTTTTTGCTGCCTCTTTTTACATATGCGAGCTGCTTTGACATACTTGCCGTGGGGTTTACTTTTTAAACAACAACAAAAACATGTACTAAGTAAAGGAAAAAAGGAAAAATCAAGAAAAAAGTATAACGAAAAGCGGTTTTTACTTTGTTTCCTTGATTTTCGTTGCAGACAAAAGTTACAAAAGTTGGCGTGTATACACGACACATGCAACACATATACACATATACATATATATATACATGTATATACTCGTATATATATATTATGCACATACTTCTAATAAGGCATGTGAGGTTAGGGCTTGGCTCCTATGTCGAGCAAAGTACGGAGCATGTCTAAGGTTATTTATAGCAACACTTTTTGGGCAT